TGGGTCAGAATGCCTTGAGGCAGCGTTTATTGGTTTCACGCAGTTGGTGTGCGATACGGGGGGTTAAAACTAATCCTTGGTGGGCAGTTTTCTTCCAGGTCAGAAAGACAACATTTGCTTTTGTACCAGTTGGGAATCGTCCTCCTTGAATGTGATTGATGCTGATGCTGAAGCAACTGCGAATGCAACAGGAAAGCATCATTTCAAAAATGTGTTTTGACTTAAACCTTTTCAAACCAGAGTTAAAGGCTTTAATAGTGTTGTGTTGTTCTCGGGCCACATCTCAAGGATTTAACAAAAAGTCTAATGAAGAAGAACTATTGGACATTATAGATCTTACAAAGTGCATTCATTCTATTATTTAGCTCTCTCAACCGATTAATATGGATGCAGAGCGGACAAACGGATTAACATTTGGTATTGGAAGCGTTCTGATTTCTGTTTGTAGTCACTTTGGAGCAGATGTTGGTTGAATGGGTTCCAAAAGTTCTTTTGGACAACAAAAGAAAAAACCCACTCGGCTCTCATCTCACAAGCACTTAACCCCTAAAGAGGCTAATTGTGAATAAAATTTCCGTTCTGGCCGATAGCTGACTGATTCTGAGGTTGTGGAGTTGCACTCAACGGCAAAAGAAATGGAAGTTGCTGCGGGCAGAAGGAGAAAAAAGGTTTGAAAGAAGTTCTGACCTTGCTGACTTCTTCGCCTCCACACACCTGGCCAATTCCCCGTGCGAATCGAATGCCCTCGTCATATTGGATTCTGACATTTTAAAGAAACTTTTGACGCATTCCTGCCCAATTCCAAAGTTGGAAGGATGGCGTCTGGTTAAATTGGCTGTAGGCTCTGCTCCTTCAGAGGGTGCTAAATAAATCCCCCCCTTTAAAAGAAATACGTGGACCGTAGCTCTTAAATCAACAATACCAAACACATTGCACTGAAGGAGCTGGTGAATGGACTTCTGGGAGCTTGATTGGAAGTCACAAGTCAGCTGACAGCAGCAACGTTGTGACCGAGGCAGTGACTGCACAGCATGAACATGACAGCTGATGCCGGTTGAAGCAGGAAGTAACGCCGTGCTCTATTCCGTCTCACATGCAAAACGTCGCTAGAAATAGCACAAATGACTATTTTCATCTTGGGTAACGTCCACAGATTAATTGATAGGAGACCTCAGCGGAAAACACGGTTGCATGTGGCTGAAAAATCGCCAGCACCCAGACTCGCGGTACATACGGTGCTGTTTCAAGTTTGTGCAGGCAGAAGAAAGGAGATCAGAGGGATGAGAGCTAATGGGGGCAGGTGGATGTACACCATCAGCAGCTTAACGCCGCATCAAACGCATGCTAACATCTCCACTGGGCCCACCTGCATCCCCGCAGTCTTTAACCTATTACCACAACATTGTTAGTGAGGTGTGGTTGGCCTATATGGCAGCGTGACAGCAGGACTCAAAGGCAGCCGACCCGAAACTCTGCAGCACTGCAGGGAATGCAGTTTGACACTGCTTTTGAAGGTCAACTTCTTCTGCTTCCGCTGTTCGAAACCTCAGCAGGTTCAGGATGGTGTACTCAAAGTCTGTGAGAATGACGTTACCCTGAATATGGGAGCTCATTGTTCTCTCATCTCCGGTTGACCCCCTTACCCCCCTTTAATATTTGGCCCCAAACCCCCCCTTAGTGTCTCCACCAATATTGGGCCCGCACACCCTTTTGAGGCTTTTCATGTAAATAAAACAAAACCAAATGGGGGGGGGGGGGGGGAAAAAAGGGGGGGGGGGGGGGGGGGTGGCGATTGGTTACCAGGCAGAATTCATTATCGGCGGGTTTGAGGCAAAGGGAGAACGGGAGGAGTTTCACTTTGAGTGTAATAAGAGCCGCTGGTCCCCTCCAGGTGATCTCGTGTGTGGACTGTTAATGGAGATGCACACACATATCGTATTCTTTTATTGTTATTCATTGTGCAGACATGCTAAAGGGCTTATACCATGACCATATGGAGCTTCTGCCTTTTTTTCCTGGTGGTTTATTAGCTCATGGCTCCGTCTGAAGTGATGTGTAAGGTCAGACAACACGCCAAACCTCATCGGCTTGGCTTTGCCTCTGATGCTGCACGTCCAGCTGAAACATTACACACAGACACTTATGGGCCTTTTCCAATTGTGTCCAATCAATCTGAGTGACCACGAGTGTGCTCCAGTCAATGAAACAGAAATATCTATAAGAAGGTCTAGAGAAAAGGGGAGTCCCCTGAGGGAAACTCAAAGTATTCCAGCAAAGGTTCTGATTACTTCTGTCAATGTGAGGCTTTTTTTTTCATGAATTAAAAAATCTAATATCCTGATTTTGCTTTGTCATTATGTGGCCGAGAGTATTGATGGAAACATCTCAGCAGTTAGGCCTAAAGCAGCGTTTACCTTCTCATAGCTTGTTTGATAACCCATCAGTCAAACCGTACATTAAGAAACAAACAATAGGCAAACCATTATTTCGATATATACTTTATTTTGCTACAGTGAGACCACTCATACAACTAGAATTCTAATGAAATTAATCTGTCTTCGATGGTGCCGCAGAGGTAGTGGGACAGACGGTGCGCTCCCATACAGAGGGGGCAGCACACGGTAAGCCTGCTACTGGAAGGACGTTGATGGAGTGACTTCAATGCTGAGACAAACAACGCACTGAACACAGCTGTCCTAAAATGTCTTCAGAAACGTATGAAGGGAATACAATTATTTAGACATATTTTGACCATATCTGGTGTTCACGTGTGTTAAGTGTGGGAGTTTTAGATGAGAAAGTACATAAGTATACAATATATATATATAAAGTGCAGGTTTGAAAACATACAATCAGTAAGGAAAAAGGACATACTTAGATGTCATAATTTGAGCAACACAAGGACATGTTTTAGCGTAATAAGGCACAGAGATGTTATCAACAGTCCTTCAGCCTCCCAGTAGCAAAGCGCCATGTATACAATCAACACCAATAACACATACTGATCTTTGCAAGACTTCCTTCCACAGATTAGACTTTTGTTCGGTCTTAAAACGCTTAATGGAGGCAGGAATGATCCCATCGGCTTAGAAAATCAGCTTTTTTCTGAATGGAAAGTGAAAACTCCTGATTTCAAAGACAGAAATTAAATTGTCCCTTGAATAAGAAACATCCAGTTTCATCGCATCAAAACAGAAATTTAGAACTTTTTATTTATTGAACAAAAATTTGAATGAATTTTGATCATGGCGAGACGTCACACTTATTCCAGGGATCTTCACTCAATAGGTGCAAATTGTCATGAAAGCATTTCTTCCTACATACAAATGTTGGTAACTCCGTCAGATAAACACTGAGGAAGCTGAGGGACATCCGTCCCTTTCCCTTACAGAATCATAAGCCTTCATATATTGCTTTCCACATCAGGAAAAAATAAAACTATATAACTTATTATTTTTAGCCATAGCATTTCCTAAAGTGAACATATTTATTTAAATAAACACACAGTACAGAAATAAGTACAGAAGTACAGAAAAAGTATTTTCTATTCATTTTATTTGAACTTCAAGCCTTTGTTTGTAAATGTACCCAAAAAACAATATATAAAATACACAAGATGCTATGCAATATAATTTGTAAGGCTCGTGCTGCATGTCAGACAAATCAATTATCTCCATTGGGATTAAATTAGTACAATTAAATTGAATAAACGAAAAGAACCAAAACATGGTATGTTTACTTCAGTTGGATAACAAATATCAAGTACACTGAGGAGGCTACGATAACATTGTGACCAAGCTCGTATTAGCAGAGGACAATGTCAGGGATCTGTGATCAGGGAGCCCCCAACCCTTCGGGCTTAAAAAAAAACATTAACGAAGCTGTACGTCTCACGGATTTAATATAGCGTCAAAAGATTTGACTGTCGAGGATTTCACAAGAAAACAGCAATTTTGATCATTTTTAATTCCTCCTATCATGTTTGATTGCGTTTCGACTAAGCTTCTACAACCGAAAGATTGGAGCAGAAATAACAATGTTAACGTGTATGGGGGGGAAATATGTTGGAAGTCGATGGTATTCCCCGTAGTTTCTCTAAACCATTACAAGGTTGTGTTTGATTGTTTGTGTACCTAGCAAGTACACACCCAGAAAGTATTATCACATGAACAATGCAATGCTGACGCACTTATATCACCCATGAAACTGAAACCTTGCTTGAACATCTTAAAGATTAACATCTGAACCGTTGTGTGTGTGAGAGGGAAGGGAAGCTTGGCCTCCTGTAGAGTTTGGTCTAGGTGGCTTAGAACCAGCAGGGGGCAGTGTTATTTGGTAAAAAGTGATTGTACAGCAGCAGTCTACCCTGAACAGTGACATCCAATTTCAGTAGCATCTCTTTGCACTAATGAAGTGCCAGCAGGATAAGGTAACATTCATAATGTTAGTCATGAACTAAAGCTATACGGAGGGTAAGGACGTGACAATATAAAAACATTGTCTAATATCGGCATTAGATACTGGTGCATTGTGGGAGAGTGATAATCTCCAAACGGAACCATGAGAACAAGTGTGCAAATCCTTCAGAAACGATCTCATCTACAATAAATGTCTTCAGAACACATGTTGTCAAACGCAATCATTTTCCAGATGGGATTTCACAGTAACGGAGCGTGTGGAGTTGGTGAACCACGTGAGGACACGTAGTTATGCGCTCCTGCTACATAGCTGGACACCCATCTTCATTACTCAGAATACACATTCATGTATTTAAAGCGTGTGGAAAAAGAGAGACCATAACATGTGATGGAAATGTGTTGTCCGTGTTGTGGGACACGACACGATTAGGACAATGATTCACACCAAAGCCGCAGGTTCTCGCTCAAAACCAATCAACAGCGCGCCAGGGTGACATTTACAAAACACCTGGAATGGATAAAATGTTGGACGATATTGACATTTACAGCAACGGTTCCATTGTTTCATGAAACGCACACTCCTTTAAACACAATAAGGTTCATTAGCATTTAGTGATTAGTAGCATCCGTAGCATTTCTTCATAATATTACCATTCTGATGTGGATTACAGTGAGTTAGTTACAGAACAACATTACAGAAACATTTATACAGACATGTTGGGAGACAAGCGGAGGACACAACACTGGTTTCTCATATTAAAGTTATTCACAGCATAAAAGGTGGGTCACATTTACACACAAAGGTTCGTATAATATAATTCCCCGTACATACCCCTGCATTTTTCACATTACATTTAAGGCAATGTATTGCACAATGGAGTGTCGCGCACAGGAAACACCGTTCCCTGTATATCTGCATTACAATATGAGGAATTATATTGCTGATGGGCTCTGTTTGTAGAAATGCCAGTGTTATGCAGATGTTTTTTTGGTCATTATTACCTTGTTAAGGCTCACAGAGGAAATTACATTCAACCACAGTTAAACTCGTTTAATTGTAGCATTTTTCTCAAAAGTTGTTTGGGGCCATTTCTCTTTCAGCATACTTTATACGAGTGCAATATGGAACAATCGACGACGTGCAGGGAGCCTTTTATAACTTGATCGGAAGTATTAAAGTGGGACATTTGCGCAGGTTTCACTACACAACGTAACAGTGCAAAGGCAGGCAGCATCATACACGGGCAACGGCATCACCAGCTGTGAAAACATCTGTTCATTATTTTTGGAAGCGTGAATTTTATGGCACCCCAATGTCATTTTAAAAAACACAGTGCAATTAGGATTTGGAGCTCTTGCTTGAAACATACCAGCAGATGGATCAACCATTTCCTGGTGCACTGGGATTCCTTACGCTGCATTCACCCTGCGGGCAACAACATCAACTGGAGTTTTTTGCATCGTGCGGAGCTGACCGACCCGAGGAAAATCAGCCAAACTGTTTAGGCTCAACAAACTGGCGTTATCAAGGCAGATTTCCGATCCTATTTTGTTCCCTGTTGATATGATTTCAATTACGTTCCCATCTGTCAAATGCAGCCACTTTAATGTGAAGGACTACTGGATATTCCAACAATCTTCAAAAAATGCTCGGAAATCAAGTTACTCGTGGTGTGAATGCACAGTTAGGATTCAGTGTTTCTCAAAAACATCTTCAAGGAACTGAAACTTGCTGCGGTTATCATCCAACACCTGACCTCTGAAAAGTCTGTGCAGTGCTTTCCTCTCTATGATTCAACCTGTCCTTGACTACCAAATATTGGTTGTGTTGTGTGTGAAGAAGAGAGACCATTCAGACTGGAGCGTGAATTTTGCTGGTGCTGGTCCGGTTTGGCGGCGCGCTGATGCTGCATTCACGTCATATAGGAATGTTACTTGAACTAGTTGGGACATATGACTAACTCATATCAGCCGGAAAACTCAATTTTTCGAATCATCTGTAACGTTCGTGGTGTGTTAGCTCTCGGGTTTGGATACAAATTACTTTTGACAGTAAATCCGACATGAGGTGAACGCGGCAAAACACATATTAAAAGTTAGTACTACACTGTTTTCCATTCAGTTTTCTGACTTGGTTTCCCCATATGCATGCAATATCTCATCAAACATTTCTCTGTGGTTAACATTCCTGTTCTAGTCGCAGCTCTTTGACAAAACAGATATTGAGCCTCACAGCTTCCTGCAGTTGTTCCTTTTGGCAGTTGCAGTTTCACAGAAGTGCACGGGACCTCAAATAGAGGCACCTCTAGGCTTGGCCCGCTTCGATCGTAGTGGAGTGTGTTGCGAGGTCGTCGCAGTGGGGAGGTTGAGCTGTTGGCAGTGAGGAGGGTTCTAGATGTTGGTTTCCCGTTGCATAGGTTCGTCGCCCTTTTCCTCCGACGCCTGGGCTTCCCCGTCGGCCGCCTTCTGATCCACGGCTTTGTCTGGATCTTCGGTCTCCGTGGGTTTGTACATCTCTGCACTCTTGCGCTCGCGCTCCAGGAGCCTGTAGTTAATGAAGTTCCCGATGAAGAGCCAAATACTGGCCAGAATCACTACAGCTCCACAGCAAAAGTACATGTACTTGTAGTTTTTTGTGAGATCGACGAGTTTCCCTGCAAGACAGACATACAATCTTAAGTGTTACCACTTAGAACTTCATTTTATTGTCTATTAAAAAATGGCTAAGCGTTTAACTACTATTAATCCTACCCGTTTGAGAAAAAAGGCCCGCTGTTAATTTCAGATAAAAATGTTTAATGGAATGTCCTTCATCATAATTTGCTCGCAAAGAAGTAAATCCATGCAAGTACTTCCCTTGATAAGGAAAGAAGATAAGACAGCTTACCTCCTGCTGAGCGCCACGCTAAGCAGAAGAGAAGCTGTCTATTTCTGCATAGTTTGCTGACGGATAAGAAACAAAAGCCACTGGTACTGTTGGAACATATTGTCACATTAGCAACCAAACTATCTTGGTAAGCCTGTGTGACTGACTGAGCATGCATACATTATATTAGCCACTAGCCCCCAGGTTAATGGTAGTTTTAGAACAATTTAGAATGCTGTGAAGCAACTCCAATAATAATAATAACCAGACGAGCAAAGAAACACTTGCACGAGATTGAATGATATTCGGCCTAATCCTACCTGCTAGAGGTGGACCGATGAGGACCGGACAGCACTCCACAATGGTGGTGAGTCCCACAGCGCTGGAAAACCTCTGAGGCCCGACAAGGTCCATCAGCGTTTCAAACAGCACGGAGCTGACCATGCCGAAAGCGAAGCCGAAGAACATGGCATACACCACCAGACCGGTGTAGCTTTCCACCAGCGGGCAGAGGATGTGGCACACTCCGTTGTACAGCACTGCAAAGCTGAAGAAGTACTGGATGTGGGGCCGGACCCAGCGCGAGTTGGCCAGTAGCCCCATGGAGGGCCTGGCAAACATGTCCACGAAAGCCAGAATTGAGAGCAGGAAGGCAGCAGAGTACTCGTCCACGCCCATGTCCTTAGCGTAGGCCGCAAGGAAGACGATGGGCGCAAAGAAGCCCAGGAACATGATGACATTGCCCGAGAGGTAAACGAGGAAGCCGCGATGCTTGAAGAGCGACAGGTCCAGGTACTTGTTAAATACTTGCCAGGCAGTTTGCTTCTCCTTCGTGGAGGTGGTAATGGCGGCCAACTCTTCGTCCTTCTTCAGCTTGCCTTGTGGCGGCCCCAGAGGCCTCATGAGGGACCCGGCCACGCAGCAGTTCAACAGCAGGCCACCCAGTATGAGGAAGCTGCCTCTCCAGCCGAAATGGTTGAAGAGGTACTGGTTGAGAGGAGCCAAGGTGCTGAGGAACACCGGACTGCCCGCCATCGCCAGTCCGTTGGCAATGGGACGCTTCTTGCAGAAGTATCTGCCTATCATAGTGAGGGCCGGCTGCAGGTTGAAGGCTAGTCCAAGTCCTGTGGGTAGAGATGACAGAGGTGCATTAAAGTTAATTTAGTAACAGTAATGCGTCAACTGTTAACGTATTAAGGCTGAAGAAGACTAGAAAGGATGGGTTTTACTTCGTGTTCCTATAAAAGAAACTAAGCAACTGAGTACTTGTGATGTCTCTGCTTTAACAACTAGCAACATCGCTGTTCAGCCGTGCTGACATCATGGCTCTAAAGACTCACAGACTAATCCGGTTCTCACCAGCATCAGTTGTATTTTAGTAGTTATTAGAAAAGTTGCATTTTGATAATGAAAAAGGTAAACATTATACTTGCTAAACATTTGCAAGGGTATTCTTGTTAAAATAGTGAGTCAATTTCTGCATATGTCAAATCAATATTTCCCAATAATATAATAGCCATTTCCTTTATTGTACACACCCCCCTTTCAAATTACATAGCACAATGTATTGACAGTTTGAAATATGCCCGAAAGATTTGATGAAACTCAATAAGTGAAAGTAACATTTGAACTTCTTATCAAAAATAATTTTCAGAATATGTCAACAAGTAGGTTTTTTTAAGTAGCATTTATAATCTGTTAAAGACACAGTATAATACATTGAGGAAAGTACCAGAATAGATTGAATTAACAAGGGAAACACTGTTTATTTTTAACCTGCTGCTTAGAAGTGACGCCTCATCAAACGGAGCTAAGTGGATTTTGGTGGACTTACCACCTATAACTCCTATGCAGAGGTAAAGCTGCACCACGCTGTTACAGATGGAAGATAGGATCATGCCAGTGGCACAGAGACAGCCGCCCATCATGACGACGGGCCTGCAGCCGTAAGTGTTGACCAGTATACTGCTGATGGGACCTGGAACCAAAGGGGAAAAGACGAGATCAACCCATGCATGTCATAAGTTTACAGAAGGCAGGGTAACTGAATGTGAAAGCGCAATGATTTAACCGGGTTAGTGCCGCACGCCAGCGGGAGCTCCGCTCCTATTAATAGCAGAAACTAAGTGGTTTCAATTTTTAAACATGGCACTCCCATCATCTTGGGCCAAAGTAGTTTAAGGGAAGTGACTGACAATCCTTTGTCCAAGACTGGCAGTCCGCATTCCATGTCTTTCAACATTGTTTGTCTATAATGCAAAAAAAAAGGAGGTGCATCAAGTAACATTGTAGAGTTTGTGTACAGGCGCAATCTCATACATTTCACGTAAAAACAAAAAGCAGAGCAAATTATAAAGCCCTTTTTTTTTATTTCTCGAGTGTATAAAATGCCGTGCCAGAGATCTGTTTGTAACAGAGAACTCGCAGAAAAAGCCTTAAATGAGGTTAATTATATTGTGGCTGACTTTAACTTCTGTAATGACTTAATTAGTGAAAACAAAAGGTCAACAGTAATATGAATAGCCAAACTGCCACTGAATGTCTGTATGGTTTTACAAAGCCACCTGCTTCGACCTTCACAGTTTGTGCTTAGATGTTTAGGAACATGCTTTTACGGTATCGTGAACTGAATGTGCTGGTTATACGTTGCAATTCATTAGCGGGTAGTCCGGGGGGGTCGATTATCAGGAAAAGTCAAGGTTTGATTATTACATTTCTGAATTAGTCTTTAAAAGACCAATTAAATGAGCAAAGATGCCCAAACTTTTGTCTGGTAGTGTATCTATATTCCATCCAATGAGTACTGTGTCTACATAAATTGACACAGCCTCCTAACCCTACGCTGTCTTTTAAGCACGGGAGGTGTAAATCAAAAGGGAGGGTGAAAAGTAATGAAAGATGTTTTATTTTAACATAATAATGTCATTACCAGCCAGAATATGTATCATATCTCTGCCAGGCGCAGTGCAATTTAAAAAGCCACAACGGGCAGCGCGTCATCTGACTTAATTTACTCTGCAAGAATCTATTTTTTTCGACTTCATTTCCGTCCTCTGCGGTGATCATTATTCTCGGGAGTTCGGCGCTACCCGGACCGGCCCCGGATGAGGAAGCCCCTGAGCCTGCACATCGCCTCCATTGAAAAAAAGGGCTTATCATCTTCTGGCCAGGCGCGGCATGGACTTCATTTCACAGTGGACAAAACCCCCCAACTAAATATAACCACCTACATCCCGAAAGGGAATGACATATATAGAAATGTGTCTGACCATTTTTTTTATCCACGACCCTTTAATGTGAGCCGCAGAGACGAGGCAGGAACCGCTCAAAATGATGCTGCCCATCCATCACACTTCAAATAGGATACAGTCGAGGGAAATGGAAGCAGACTACTTTCGGAAGCGGCTCTGCAGCGAGAGGACACGGACACGGTGTCCAGCCAGCCCATTACATAGATATTTGCAGGCATTGTGGTAAAAGTTTATACACATTTTTTTTAAGTTGACAAGAGGCTTCGGGGGGGAAGTTTAGAGCGGCGTAACGGGGGGGGGCAGCATCACTCAGCATCATACTGACACGGCGGCCTAAAGTTTGGAGGTTTTACTTGTTCTCTCTTAGGAAAAAGACTATTTGTAGAATACTTTCTAGAATGGGAAGCGGAGCCGCTCAATTGGCAGCAGATGATACGCAAATGAGAGCAGCGAATCAAAACAGGATTATTTTTGCTTTTGTTTGTGCCCATTAGGCCGGTTAGTAGTTTCAGTAGCAGTTTGGTTGCCTCATGACAAACTACTTAACAGGTGTGAGCACAGTTCTTTTTTTGGCGTCCGGCGTCTACCTGTGTTTATGAGTCACGCGTGCATTGTTCTCACGCCGCCTCTCCCACGGTTGAGTCCCTCCTGTCTCTGTGGATTAGCGGCATTGATCCGACGCGGACACGCGGCCTGCAGCTTAAAATGAGTCATCTTGCGGCGGCGCCTGAGGGAACGAGTGCCACGAAGGGTCGAGCTGACACGTGCACCGGCCTGCTTTTCAAAGGACAGACTGTGAAACACATTTGGTGCCTTCTTGCGGAGTTTAGAGCTTGGAGACTGTATGCTCTCATAATTTACAACCCTTGAATACATTTTTTTTTAATATTAGCACACATGTTAATAGATAATTAAGAAATACAGCTATTATGGTTCATTGATCTTACCTCTATCCTTAGAAATAGGTCTGTTAAAAATCCAGTTTGCCAACTAATTTGCATTGTCGGTCAGGCAACTGACTATGCAAATGATTAGATAGTAAGCCTGTCATGCTGCTGTGGTCTTATGGGCCTTGACAGGAGCCTGAGTGATCTCTTGCGATGCAACACGTATTCAAGTTACAGCACAGAGCTTGAGGAACCATTGTGGGGGTTCAGTTTGTTGACATTGTTAGTTGATGAAGACTATATTCCCTCGCTTCCTATAGTCCGATAGAGGCAGGGAAGTAACACAAGAGATGAAAGTGCCGAAACTACGAAGAACGACTGCTCTTGTGTAAAAGATTGAAACGTTTTCATGTATTAAACCTACTGATTGTTGATTGAAAAACTTGAAAAAGAGCATTTTTAAGAATTTGTATCATTATTAATGTGAGGATTACGGATTTGACTCTTTGGGGCTTATGGATATTTTCCGTAAGTCTGATTTGTATTCGGAGATTGTGAAAGTTTGTACACCATCTTTGCACTGGACAGGAATTAGAATTAAAAGCGCTTTTCAAATTGGATTGAGGTTGTCGGTCATTATCAGGCAGGTTCACGGTTATGACTGAGCTGTGTAAACCCCAATACACACACACACACACACACACACACACACACACACACACACACAGCAGTCAGAAGACAGTTGCCAAACAGTGATTGCTTCATCAGCGTAAGAGGCAGAACACAAGAGCAAATGTTTTAATGAATAGCTGATGAGTCTAATCAATATGTATGAATGAGTAGCGAGAGCTGCTCGCTTAGTACCTGAACATATTGACGCCGTCACCACACGATAGTGACACGCAGTCATCGCAAAGCAGGAGCGGCACTTGGCAATTGTCGCCAAACCGTGACTCCACGGCCGATTCTTTTCAACTTGATCTCTCAGACAGGTCAGAGGTCAGCCAAGGTTTCCAAATGACACTCAAACATATTGTTGTCATTTATTCACTGAGCTCTGTTATCATATCATATCATTGACAGCACATATGTTGACATTGATATGCTGCGTCTGTGTATTTGAGACTTAATTTATTTCATAGGGATGACACAATTTAAAAGTTACAATAGAGCAAAGACCATCAAAATGATTTGCTGCAAAATACTTTATGACTATTGGTAATTTTCAACTCTTGTCCCACAACACTTGCTTTACTTTTTGACTATTCAGCTTGGCAGTAACTGATTCACCTTGTTTCCCGGAATTTACTTCTTGTCATTTTTCAAAGATAGTGGCCACAATACAGAACAAACATTTGATTCTTTAACATATAAATCCATGTATTACTCAAGGGTTATACTAAGATAGTCTGAGAGAAGCATTTTCTTAATTGCTTTCACTGCTTTTGGTAGAAGCCGCACTAAATGAGCTTTCCAGTGCTGCTGTGCCGCTGCAGATGGGGACAACAGCAGTAGATCGAGTGACAGGAGGATTACAGCGCGGACAGATGGCCGCCGCGGCACCGCCAAGCAAGGCTTTGGACTGAAGCCAAAGCGGGAAATACAGCAGGTGACCAGAGCAATATGGTGTTGGGAAATGACCTACGGGAAACGCATCCTGAGCCTCCAAAGCGCTCTTACTCATTCTGATTCCAGTCAATGCTGGTAATGCTTGTAATCTACGTTATCATTCAAAATGATTGTTTGTTTTTCCCCTTTATCTACAACCTTAGAACAGGTACATTATCTGTGTTTGACTCTCATGTGCTGCTTCAGTTTGGCAGAACATAGAGGCTTTTCTCGCTGTCCGGAGGCTCATCATGTGACGGCGTGTCTGCATCTTGTGATGCAGTCCTTTCAAAATCCAGGTCACGATCTGATGACACAACCGACTTCTAAACCCTATCCCTTTGGTAACAAACAACGTGTATGAGCACACTACGCGCTCAACAAGCCAACACTGCAAATCCCAACCACGTCTGCTAAGGATTCAGGAAACGACGCATTCCTACAAAATGAAACCCCAACAACATGTGTAACGAATAAAATCTTTAAAAGATTCCCCCCGACACTGATCATTGTTAAAATTAAAGTAAAACATGTAAGAAGTTTAAACTTTGCTCAGAAAATGTGTACTTATTTGGTCAAAATTGATGTTGTCTAGACTCTAGGTGATATCATTGTTACAATAAACGTAATAATAAAACTAAAATAAGACTAGTTGTCATCAGGTAGCGTTAGCACTGCACTGTGTTGTGCTTGCTACTGAATGTAGACATGATGCTTTTAATGCTTTCAACAGTTAACAAGGACTAAGAACAGGACAGTGTTTTCAGAGCTGAATCGTGTTGACATCCTGGATACTGTATGTCCTTCTAACGCATCTTGCATTTTGTCTGCTTCTTTCTGAATTTGCTTTTTTAGTTTTCCAAAGGCCTGGTCATCGTTCATAAGGGAGTGCAGTCAGTGACAGTGTCGTGGACGTGGTCAACGGGGGGTGGGGCTTAGAGACAATTAACTGCAGCTCCATCAAATATTACATTTGCTCATACAAAGAAATGAAAACGTCGGTAACTTTAAAACACCATAAGAGTTCCGACCGAGCCAGGACTCACCTGCAGCATACATGACCGCTAGCATGATGGAGGAGATCCATGCGATCTGACTGTAGGAACAATCAAAGATGATCTGGATGTCTTTGAAGTAGACGGTGATGGCCTTGGGGAAAGCGTACGAGAAGCCGATGGAGATGAAAGACGCCAGCACCACGGCCCACCCCCAACCGCCGTCCGGCGGAGGCGCGGCGGGGGAACTTGTGGACGGGGGCGGCATCACTGGCCCACCTCAACGCTGACTGTTCACTGCATGACAGGAAGGGGAAGGGAAAGAGGAAGATTGCGTGTTACCACCAGCGTCCTGTTGTCCCGTCTCCTTGGGAAAACGTCACAGATCGTTACCGACGACGCACATGTATCCGATCCCCAGCTCCATGTTGACTGTACACAAACAATGAGCCCGAGGGGATTAAGCAGGTGGTCAACAAATATGTGCCTTCATTTAGATAAGCTGCCAGCGTTAATATGACACCAGCGGGGGAGCAAGGGGACACCACAAGTCCACGTCCTGCACTGTAATAATTACCGCTTTCAGAGGGCGTGCATTCACTTCACCTGAGTGGAGCAGCCCCACCCAGTATTCACCGCGTCAAGTAATGGAAACTATACAACGGCTGAAAACTGACAAAGGCGTTTGAGCCCAGGTGTTGCTGTGTGCAATGCAAACAAACCCCAACGTCACATACAAAGACGAATGTCCACATTCACACTTGGGGAGTTTGTTTTCTTGACAAAGTGCCTTTCAAGGAGAAACACAAACATCGTAGTAGAAAATGTGTAGCTGTTGTGTCTAACCTACAGCCGCACAACTAGTTCATAGCTCACACTGAGGACGTGGTTACACGGGACGTGGGACATATTAAGTGGACAAAAGAGTGCCTGTGAAACAGTGGATAAACATTGAAAAGGCAAATGAAACCACAGCCTGAGATGGAGGAAGCTAGATGGGTTTCAGCAAAATGAACACTCAGTTTTTCTCATGTTTGCGTTCACAAGTGAGCAAACATTTGACATTAGTTAAGTGCGTTTGCTAATAATTTCCCCTACTAATTGCATTAGCTACTGTACCTGCAGCAGAAGAGAGTAACTAACGGAGGCATTCACTAAAACGTCAGGCTTAATTACTTTTTTATAGTTAATAATAATACATAAAAACCTCCCCTTTTTTAATCTGAACCTATATTACCGTTTAAAAGTTAGGAAATCTCTGTTGAATAAATTTGGACAATTCTTCTTTATTTGTATTCAGTTTGTGTTTCAAAAGAATGGTGTCCTTTTAAATGATTTATTTCCAACAATATAAATCAGAATTCCTTTCCATGCAACTGCAGCTAAATTGGAAAATGCATGCTTCTATGCTGCTATGGTGTGGGATTTTTTCTATACAGGCAAGATTCCAATACCTGAACCTGTCCTTGTGAATATATACTGTATATACATATACATATCTATATATATATGTATATATATATGTATATATATGTATTAATATATGTATATAAATATATGTGTATATATATATATATATATATATATATATATATATATATATATATATATATACATATATATATACATATATATATACACATATATTTATATACATATATTAATACATATATATACATACATATATATATACATACATATATATATACATATATATATATATATATATATATATATATATATATATATATATATATATATGCTGGAGGCTTGACAGTGACAGTGACACCAAAAAGTGTTTCAACTTGTTCAAGGGTTTGAATCATTAACTTACATTTCTAAGATAAGCCTGACATGGAAAAGGGGAACTGTAATCATTTTCTGCGTTTATCATGACTCCCATGAGCCCTTTCACATTACAATATTGATTCATAGTAAATAGGTATTACTGCTAATCTTTGAAGAAATCACTCGTATCTTTCCGTTAGGGATGTATTTTTAAATTTGTAATGAAACATAATAATTGAGTCACACATACATTTTTGAAAGAATGAACAAACAGGGAAAACAAATAGGACAAAGTAATTAACCTGATTAATGAAATTCTATTTATTAAGTCTATGAATTCCAAGAAAAACTCAATAAGATGAACTTGCCTTTGTTTGCAAACAAAACAGGGTTGGTACTTGTGATGCTGGCTGTCTGCACATTATAGGAAATGCTGCGTTGAAACATTGTTATTAGGAAAACTGGCTTGGTGAATGGAAATATCACGGTGTATATGTCTTGTAGTGCCGCTTCAATCAGAGTTGGAGATTATTCCTTTCCATACAGTAGGTCTAATCCACACTAATCAGATTACTGGCAGTCCACAGCAGCCCTCTGGTAGCAGACACTGGTTTTGATTGATTGAACGTGACCACAATGCACGGACAAACCTCATAACTCATAAGCAGCTTAAGTTGATGCGCTCGAATGTGAAGCTCACAACAGATTGACCATGAAATAGCAGCGAAGAATGGAGGACAAGGCATACTTCCAGGCGAGCTTGACAAATTTGGTTTATGATCAACCACATTAAGTATATGAGAAGTCAAACAGAGCAAAGTCGCCCTTCAGTTTCTGCAATGTCAACACTTCCCTTTAGAAGCCCGGATCCACGTTGTGTGCCTCCGTGTCCTTCACTTGACACCACGGACGGAGGAGTGACTGACGCCACAGGTGTGTTAACACACAGGTGAGGACCGGATCCAACTGAACTCCAGTAACCACGGTGCCTGGAACTATCGATCGATGTTAACATATTAACCAACAATTACGTCCCTTCTCATCAGCCAGCAGGCCCGGCGATTATTTTGTGTTTCAGTTCCTTCTATACTTACCATTGGCCATTAAACTGTAATAATCCAACGATCTTGCAGTTAAGGTCTTGACTCCGTTGTACATAGCATCCGCCTGCGTATAAGCCGCTCCTTAACAGAGCAGCAACTTCAGTCCTCCAAAGTGGCAACACAGGAGGCCTTTGGGCTCAGTACTGTTTGTAGATCGCTGGCGTTTCCAACGGGCAAATGCTCTGGTGCATATAAAACATAAGGAAATAGACTTGAGGCTCTGCCTTGTGATGCAGCACACATCATGTGCGAACAGCTTGTTGATTAAACTAGAAGTGGATCTGTTCTGTCAAAAGCCTCTGAGATGGAAGGATTAAAAACTGCGGCTCAAATGCCTAGACCCACGGAGATGTAGATGCACTTTTATTCCCAAACGTCCATGCAGAAAAAGGAGTAAGGGCCCCAATCTTATCCTGAACGCAAAGTGGTGCAGTCTTGACCAAAGGGGTGGACTGACGAGGAGACATTACCATCCCAGGGACCCCAACCTCTATTCAAACTGCTGTAGAAACATGTGGTCAACATGTGGCAGTCCAGAAGATACAATCCCCAAACGGATTTAAAGGATTTTTTTGTAAGCTAAGGAAAACACGTCTTAGATGTATGTACTTTGCTAAAAACATATGAATAGTATAATCCATTTCTGACATTTAATCTCAAAAAGATCTCACTAAAACTCTTCTTCTTTCTCACAGGCTGGGAAGGATTGTCAGGCACAAAGGCTGCGTCCAGTGTCCCCTGCTTGTACTTGGAAGTGAATGTTTGGCTTCACATTGTTGACGCTCCTCGAACAACAGCGCTGAGTGAGCAGCAAGGAAAAGGTAGGAGTTCAGGGACCAAAATAGCGCTTCTATAATCAAATCATCCCAACCGGCAGAAGCTAATAGGGCGTACTAGACAGCAATACATTCTTGGAGTGCATCTCCTGTTTGTGTGTCTGTCAGTGTGACCTCCAAGGACATCACTTAGTGCCTTGGCAGCAGGCCTGGACTGCACTATTTGCACCATGGAGGGACACGGGGTCTCAGGTTGTATTTCAGAAAGGTTCAAGTAAAGGAGGAGGTCACGGACGGGGCTGTCAAGGAGACTTTTTACTGTGAAATACACAAGTAAAACAAAAAACAAAACTAAGTAAATTACAAATGGGCTAAACGAAAGATCTCCTTTCTCGTTGCTGTGAGTATCGTCTTCCCGAAACGATGATTCGCAAACAAGATTTGATAAGGAAAATGAATCATTTAATAATAATAACAATTGCATGTGGTGATAACTTTATGTGGTAACTTCTTTTGTTATTTGAGAGATATTTGGACATTTCTACACAAGTGTTTGATAGAGTTGAGACTTCTTGGAGCCAGCAATTAAAACGGGAAGAAAAGAACTGCAAAGGTCCCATTCAGAGGAAGTAGAGCTCCTCCCCTCCATTTCCCACACCGATTAAAGCTTTCTTTTGACTTCTTAGCTGCTAAGTGGACTCACTTTTTTCTCCTTTCACTTTCACTGATAGCGGGCCAGTGATTACTCAGTAATGGTTTCTTAATGTGGCCTTTTGTGAAGCTCTGCAGGACTCGTGCTGTAATGAAGGACGGCAGAAGGTGAGCTGACTGACAGGTGCTGATGTGGGAACAAGTCTTAATGAGAGTCCGGGAGCAAGAGGACATTCCTGCTCAGCCTGTATACGTTTTACGATACGCATCGTTGGAATTACGGGCTCCGCCTCGTAATATTCGCGAAGACCTTGAACAGCAGAAATATTCAACGGTTCCATTTAAATGCCGTTTAGATAAAACAGGTTCTTTAAGCCCCGTCAAACTCCTGCAAAAAGGAAAGATGACCTCTACTGTCAGCGACGGCCACCAGCGTGATCCTCACGCCACGCCTGCCGCCCAAACCAACTGTCACGAGACTTCAAGTTATGGCAACGCAGGATTAGCCCCGAGGTAACCTTGGAGCAACACTACTCACGTTGTTGTACAAATGGTTCATTATTAACCCAACAGGAACAATGGGTGCCAAACCGAACCACGCGTCTCATACGTCCTATCAGCGTCTGATTCCGCTACCGTGACCTTGAAGCCGAGCACCGGCAAATGCCACTGAAACAATGGCACCCTCAGAACGCTGCTTTCTAAAGAAAACCACACATCTCACCCGTAAGATGTACTAAGGCTATGATACATTCAACGTTTTTGTCAAACTTGATAGTTTAGTACCTTGATTTAAAAAAAAAAAATTCAAGTGGACTGATACATTTCCATAAACACGCCTCTGACCATTAACAAATGTATGAAAAACCTCTGGCAAGACCAAATTTGTGATTCACTGACAGAAAAAGAACATTCACGCAGCACCGCGTTCTTGGTGGTTGCAGAAGCTCTGTGGACACAATAACATGCTGGGATTCAGGCCATCCATTCCACTTTTTCCATGTGGGCTCGTCAACACTTCGATTGAACAGCCAATCCCAAGCTCCCGCCTCTCCCACGCCCCTGAACACGCCATGAAGGTCAGAGGCACTGGTCTCTGCTGCGTCTTTGGGTTGCCACTTTGTCTCTCTCTCTATCTCCTTGTTTCTTTGCAGCCTCTTTCCAGTCAACTGTTGAATGAAGGCAACACTAGCAAAAAGAATTCCATACTGAAAAACAAACGGGGAAAACTTCAGGCCGTTATGTTCTCTTTCCTTGGCTGAAATCCTTGATGACGACAGATTTACAGAAGCACTTGCCCTTTTACTCACATAGCCTTTTGTAACAATAAATAATCATTATGTTCCTTTTGAGACATGATTGTAATTGCTACTATGACAAAAAATGTTTACTTACTTTGCCCATCTGGCATCGGTGTTGGACATGGGGTCAAGTGGATTGTTGTACAACTTGTATTGGTGTGGTGAATTAAACTAAACTACATACATTTTGACCACCTCATTTGAAGGCTCTTGTGTTTAGTGGGGGGGTCATCAAGTGAGAGTGGAATACAATGCATTGTTCCATATCAGGTGTTATCAGAAACAACAACCGATAGAAATGTATTAATATGTGCGAGGTACACAAGAGCACAACCCGTCCGTGTAATTCCTAATATACTACGTGAGAACAGACTCACCAACGAAATATGGAAAAAATGTTGACCTTTAACAACAGAGTTATGGAACAAAGACGTCACTGCTTTTGATGGAAACATATATTGTGAAAAAACAACTAAAGAATGTGCAGGTATCCCTCAGACTGAAACTACAGGCGAACAAAAGCTGAAACAAAACATATACACTACATATTTGAAAAGCCACAAACAGATAAATGGGGCCAGTATGACCAGCATGGTTTCCGATGTCCTCAACAACAAACAAGCGCTATTTGGTATAGATGAGTGGCGTTATAAGTACAATTTAAGTGCTACAATTTGTTAGTCTTTTAGTGGAGGTAGAGTCTGAAGAGGTGTGTCTTTAGTTCGCGGCGGAAGATGTGAAGGCTCTCTGCGGTCCTGGTGTCTTGCATGAGCTAAACTCGCTTAAAGATGATTGACACGCTCTTCCATAGCAGACTAGTAGCTAGGTGAATAATAGCCTTTCAACTGTCTCAGTGTAAATAAACAGAGAGCAGTGATACATTGTCCAGTGGATAAAGGTGGCATGGAGTTATTCTTACAGATCATCAGCTGACCTGGAGGGAAGTGGAGCACTCACAACTCATCTTGTGCCGGAAAACAAACAAAACAAAACCCCTCTTTCTAATAATAAAACTCCCTGTTTGCTAGCAGGAAACATGTAACAGTTGGATTCCCATTAGGAACACTAGGTAGTGAGGGAGGCAACAGCAGAGCGACTCCTCAGCACTGAGGCCCAATCATATGATGCTGCTGATGCAAGGACAGCGACCGGATGAAGCCAGTTTAAATGACCAAGGCCCTTCATGGACTAAACAGTTGCTTTTGCTTTATTAAAAAAACGGTTTAAATTGTTATATTTATATAGAATTTCCTCCGGGAATTACCGGGGCACAACCGCGTGGAGAGGGAATCACACACCTCTCTGCAAACTGCTCCTGAACGCGTCACACAATGTTAAATCAAACGTCAACTCACGCCGTCTGACGCTAATAAGCTCTTTCGCTTCATGTATAGTATTATTATTATTATTATTATTATTAATGCATTCTCGCTCATCGCAACCTCATCTCTGCATACCGCGGCGTCCCAACGACACCGAAATCCCCCGTTAAATCTGTCAGATCACACGACAGCGGCGGCTCGGTAAAAAAAAAATGAAGACATTAAATGTGACTTTACCTTTTGAGGTGGGGTGGTGGCGTGTGTGCGCGCGCGCGTGCAAGATGCCGGCTCGGCGTGACCTTGGATCAGAGAGATGCGTGTCGCTCGCCGAAGGCTCTTGTGTTCGAATTTCCTGAGCGAGGCGCTGGATGACGTGACGCGCGCTGGAGTGGGCGGCGCGCGCCGGCCGCGTCGTGCGTCTGTTTTGGAGCAGAGCGGCTCGGAAGGAGCGGCTCGTTACTCGTTACCTCCCGGGCGGGCCTGCTGTACCGCGTATCCCCGCTGCGTCGTGTCCGGTTCGGGGTATGAACGCACTTCACTGATGGGTGAATTCGCCTATATATATATATATATATATATATATTTTCTGTTATTTGATTTGTTATTAACATAAGTTGAGCACAACATGGTTGTAATTGAGAAACTGGAGCAACAATCTCTATTATACCTTTTTTCTTATTCTTAAAACCTAATAGCAATAATGATAACAAGCAGAAGGAGCTGAATTAGTATGCATGAAACCATTGAAATATAGGTTAACAACAATGCAACATGTAAAAGTACGAATAAAGTTCAATGAAAGGGTTATTCTGGATAAGAGCATACTGTTAATAATAATCATATAATCATTTAAAAAGTGGCAGTTTAAATAGTGAGATAAAAGTTGAAACATGAGTTAAATCAAGCGTTGATTTAATTAAGTGTGAGCTCTGAGGGAAGTGTAAGTATGTCAGTGGCCCTCAAAGCCGCTGAAATGGGATTTTCTGTACATTGACTTTTACTCTTTCGCCATCAGATGTCCTTTGCGTGCGTAAAGCCCCTGGCATCACCAATGAAAAACCCAATATGGGCTGAAATAATGTGAAGGGGTCTCAATGGAGCCTTTGCATTTGGTAAGGGGAACTTGTAGAATGTGAAGAAGACTTTTCAGAACACTGCACAAAACAACGGGGATCATATGACGTTACCAATAGAACAAATCTGATAAACTTAAGAAGGAAAGAGCTGTTGGTTGACTTGTAATGACGCTGCAGAGATACAGAAGACCTCCAGGTTTTTTGGAGTAACTTACTCACTTTGATAGAAATTATTATGATAAATCATTGATCATTCTTAAAAACGCATCAATAGCAAAGTTGCTGGTTTTAGTGAAATGCTCTCTCTCTTCTTTCATCCTGTCAGAAATATTTGCCCTTCCCTTTTGAAATCACCCCACGCAACGTGTCGACACACAGTAAAGTATTTAAAGGGAATCCTGGCACGTGGCCAAATGGCACAAAGAAAATGCTATAGTGGTGGGCACCATTGTTTGACAATGTCTGAAAGGCCACTACGTTTATTCCGTTTTGAGGCACCATACATGGTGTTTTTTCTAAGCCATAAGGCTTGGTAAAACACAACATAAGTGATTCTGAAGGCAGAGAGTAGCAAGGTGTCAATGCCTGATCTGTTATATTTTAGATTTACACCGTTAACAGTAAACACCTGCACATTCTCTTGACTCTAGACTTAATTAATCGTCCAAAATAATGACGTTTTTCCATTCCCATACAGTCTCTGCACTATACTAAACAGGCCCGATGGCTGTGCGTACATGGCACTTTCATATCAACAGAACCATGCACTGCTGCTGGTGGGAAACTCACACGATCCCTCACAGTTGTAAAATGTCAACAAAAAGCTCTCAGGTTGTGGATAAAAACACAAACATAAGAGCTCAGATTATGGAAGCATGGTGCTCCCACAGTCCAAACAGAAACTCCAGACAAGCTCGCACTGTTGAGGTGGAGGTGCGGCTCGCAGGGGAAGCAAAGAGAAACTTGTTTTTCGGGTCGCAACCGTAATGTATAGAACAGAGCAGATGAGACTCATGGGGACTTAGGGCCTGTAAGATAAATGTACATAAAAATCTAGGTACAAACACACTGTTGTTTTAAAATAATTCATGTTAATAACTCTAATTATGTCTCCTCTGATTTTGATAAAACATATATTGTGGTTATAGTTAACTTTTAAGTATTTCTCCAGTTTTAAATACGAGCTTGATCAGTGTTTACTTGCTGATCAGCTCCCTCCATCCCCTAAGGCTCCTCCCGCTGTGATGTCATTCTGATTACTATGCACGTGTATGACTTCAACGAACATATATTGTAATGACAAGTTTGTGTGAACTGAAATGTTGTCGCACGGGTGTCGTGACCTCACAGTAACCAGCTTGTGTGCTCGTTAAACTGAGAACACCGGTTAGACATATTGGGCGCAACCCTCAGCACATTCCAATAAAACTAAAAAATGTCTTAACGTAAATGAGACAAGGACAGCACGTGGATGTGGAGCCATTGGTGGACATAATATGTCCCACCTGCAGGGTGCGCTGTGGGAAATGAATCCAAACACAAATGAGGATGTCAATGAATTCTCCCTTTTGTTTGAGCTTTTTCGAAATAACTGTCTCATCTTCTTAGAAACTGGTAAAGCCGTGTTGTGTTTTCTGCTGTAGCAGTTCTGGCTAATTGAAAGGTTATTTGGGGATAGTAAAAGATGTTGAATATAAGCTGAAGTGTTAAAATAAGATTGAAAAGCGACTAAAAATGTAATATTCACTAGCAAGAACCACGGCGTGAACTGAATGAGTTTAGAAAGAATTTATTGACAGACATGCGGAGACGGGACAAGGAACGCTACATTAATAAATATAAATGTTCAGCAGGCTGCACCGCCCATAGTTTGATTCCACTGAATCAAAGCAACGTCCCCAACCTTAATATGCATGCGGGACACTTACTGTAAGTGCACCGTGTGGAACCCTATAGGCAGATGCTGTTCTGCACATCTTTGTTGTGTGGATGGGATTGTTTAAGGAGGGCGGACGTGTGCTACTAAACTATAACAATGAGCGGCTAGAAAGATGCAATGAAAACATGACTTGACGCGGTTTGATCCAAAGCCTTCAGCGGGGATAAATTGTGATACCACCAGCAAAATGATCATAATGAAAGAGTTATGAAATAGAAATGTTAAAAAGAAAGAACAACTAAAACAAAAAGGGGGGGGGTAACATTTACAAAGTTTGAAAATGTCAATCAATTTAATTGATATTTGATTCTTGTTTATGGACCATAGGATAGTATTTATTACATATTCTGTTCAGATACATCCGACTCTAAGTGTAAGTCCTGATAAAAACCACTGAACAAAGAATCTACAATGCACCCATCCCGGGGGCCGACCCCCTCCCCGTGATGACAGGAATGCAGGTAAATCCCACGATGAGATTTAGATAAAGCAGAAAGGGCTTTCAGTAGTTCTGGGCGGATCGAGGGAAACTAGTCCCTCTCCACCATCTCTACCTCTAGAGGTCACTATTCCACAAAAATCACCCTCACATACAGCTTGGAGGAGCGGGGCCCCTAGCTCTCAAATCATCTCGTCGTCTCTCACATCGTAACTCGTGCTCTGTGCCGGCTAGTGTTTAACTTAACCGCCCGTGTTCCTTGATTTAAGGTCTGTATTTAAACCCATTTGACTGATGAGACCACCGAAGGAAGAGCCTCTCTCCACACCTCTGTGTTTACCTCTCCTGACAGCTTGTTTCCACCGAGCCGGCGAACAGGGCTGCATTCTCACCTCAACACCTCCCTCTGGTTTGGGGGGCGAGGAGACACCCAACAGCTGTGTCCATAGATACCCTCCACCTGTTTCATGCTGCTTTTCACAACCACGTGCTGCAACCAACCTGTTTCATTCACTCCGCTCTTCATAAAGGTGTCAACTCCCCCCGAGCGCTACAAAAGAGTCAAAGCTTGCAGTTCGTTGTTGACGTGGGGAACAATGGCCGACAAAACATCCTACCAGTAGAGTCGGTTGGACTAAAGCTATCCGTTTCCCCTCTGTTCCCTGTCTGTGTGACGTGCTAAGCTAAGCTAACCAGAAGCTGGCTGTGTCTTCTTATTTACCGTACAGATCTAAGATTCACATCAATATTTATATCTCACAAGACAAATGAACATATTTCCCAAAACACATGGGGCTGTTTACTGCAATATCAGGGGAACAAAATTGTTGTTAAAATGTCAACCAAACTTTATTTCCATTTTAGTAGCATTCCCGTCAATATGTGTGAAATTGGATATTGTTTGGTGTGTTCTGCCAGATTTTCGAGTGTTCCTCTACGTACTTGCTGTCAAAAGAAATGTTGGATGGTCCTTTGAAAGAAAACATTCGGGATGGAATCATGGGACAGCTTTTGTCACTCTATATTTATTTAGAGGATCATAGTCTGAAACTTACGGCCACTGACGGAGCATTGGTCTTGGAGTTGGGTTTTGATAAAAGTTCATTGGACTTTTAACGGTGGGCTTTATTCGGCTCCAATAGCACATCCTAAGAATTCCAACTCCCTCTTGATTATCGCTTGAACATTACTTTGTATCAATGTTGCTAACAAGTCTCCAAGACAAAACCATGCTAATATCCGTACACATATCCAATAAATATCGATCTGATTGTTTGAAATAGAAGACGTTTTTGTTTAATGAGCATAGATAGATAGATAAAGTATTCTCCTGTCGCCTTCACCCAGTTTCCACTATTTCTATATTAGAATTTAATACGGCGTATACCCTCCCCCTGCGTTTGAGCAGGTATCTCCTTGGGCTCCGGAAACAAAAAGCTGGGCCCTGAGTGTCACGCGTCGTCAGTCGCCAAACAAAAGGTCAGGATGGAAGACAGCGGAGGTGAGGAGGTTAGAGGAGGAGGGTGAGCCTTCAGGAGAAAAGCAGTGGGAGGTTTGTTGAGTGGGAAAGTTGGGTGAGGGGCTTTCTAGATTGAGCCATAAGTGGCCTTAGGGTGCATTGCTACCAGAACACCATGATTGCCTCAATGCTGAGCAAACACCAAAAACAATCAGGCTGATTGGGCCCCGCCAGGGCAGTGGAAGGGGTGTTACCCAATCACGACTAATAACTTCAACCACTTTGTGTTGAATTGTTGTTATTATTAATAATGGATCCATTCAGGGGCAATTAGAGTCTGTTCATGAGGCATTTTAAGGGTGTTACATAGATTTTTCAAACATGTGTGTGAAAGTTGTCTCCCTGAACTGAGGGTTCGGTCAGAACTGTCCCTCTCTAACTGAAAACACATTTCGCCCCT